ATCCCTTCTCCTCCATTCTCCTCTTGGGATCTTGGGCACTCACGCACACGCACCCGGCGTGAGTTTCAAGCCACCAGGTCTGGGACACGAACCATGGTCGACTACATGGGAGTCCAGTGACATAGCCATTATGCTAACTGCTGTTCCCACGAGGTAAGCTATTAATTGCAAAAAAAAATGCTAATGTACAGTGGGAAAACTCAGATATTAGCATGTTATCAAGTAATCAAGGTTAATCATACCAGTAATAAGATGTCAACTGATGTACTGGGAAGGATAAATCATTTTTATGGTACATAAGTGCCATAATAACCTGAAGTGCATAATAACCTCAATCTAATCACTAAAAATCACAGACAAAGCCAAACTGAAAGTCATTCTACAAAATAACTGATCAGTACAGATCAAAAGTGTTAACACAGGGGCCAGCGGGCACCATGGTGGTTAAGGTATTGGACTCCCACATGCTGACTGTGGTTTGAGTCCTGGACCTGGTGGCTTGCTTTCTCACTTTCTCTCTCTTTCTCTGGTGAGCACAAGTGCCCTATAGCCAAATTTAAAATAATAATAAAATAAACATATGTGGACCAGCACATGGCATAATGTTTATGTTGCAGGACTCCCACGTAGTCGACTACAGTTTGAATCCCAGACCAAGTGGCTTAAAACTCACACTGGGCACGTGTGCGTATGGGCCCAAAATCCCAAGAGGAGAATGGAGGAGAAGGGATTGAGCATGGCCATTTCCCCCCGGGGGTAATTTCTTGTTTTCTGTCTTTGTCTCTCTGGTGAGTACATGTGCCCTAAAGCAAAAATCTCCACTAAATAAATAAATAAATTTCAAAGTGTCAACCCAAGAAATGAAAGGAGACTGAGGAACACAGATTGGAGGAGACGAGGGAGACACAACTAAAAGTGACATGTAATTGAGAGTTGAGATTGAGTCTCAAAGAAAAAACAAAGAGAGCATTAGTGGAAAAACTGGTGAAATTTGAATAAGGTCTGCAGTTAATAGCATTAATGTTAATTTGGTGGTTTTGATAATTATTCTTCGCTAATATAAATTGTTAACTTTAGGAGGAGCTGAGTGAAGAGTATAGTGAACTCTCTACTTTTTTTTAAGTTATTTTTTTCTTAAGAATTATTTTTTTTATTTAACTTTATTTATTTTAATTTGGTCAGAGAAAAAGAGAGAGAGGGAACGTGAGAAAGCAAGCCTCTGGGCCCAGGACTCGAACCGCTGTTGGCCATGTGGGAATCCAGTGCCCTTAATCACCATGCCAACTGCTGGCCTCCTCTACTATTCTTTTTATGGAAGTTATTTTTATATTGACAGAACTTGCAATATATACATTTTGCATTTAGGACACACATCTGTGGTATTTAAGAAAATTAATGCATATTTGACTACAGCTCCATTTCTGCTCTGCTGAATGATTTTTCTTTCTTTCTTTCTTTCTTTCTTTCTTTCTTTCTTCTTCCTTCCTTCCTTCCTTCTTTTCTTTTCTTTTCTTTTCTTTTCTTTTCTTTTCTTTTCTTTTCTTTTCTTTTCTTTTCTTTTCTTTTCTTTTCTTTTCTTTTCTTTTCTTTTCTTTTCTTTTCTTTTCTTTTCTTTTCTTTTCTTTTCTTTTCTTTTCTTTTCTTTTCTTTTCTTTTCTTTTCTTTTCTTTTCTTTTCTTTTCTTTTCTTTTCTTTTCTTTTCTTTTCTTTCTTTCTTTCTTTCTTTCTTTCTTTCTTTCTTTAGGTTTTTGCTATAGGGCATATGCGCTCACCAGAAAGACAGACACAGACAGAGAGATAGAAAGCACAAAATCACCCCCCAGGGAGGATGGCTATGCTGCAACCCCTTCTCCTTCATTCTTCTCTTGGGATCTTGGGCACGCATCTACACACACCCAGCATGAGTTTAAGCCACCAGGTCCAGGACTTGAACCGCGGTCGACTACATGGGAGTCCAGTGACATAGCTATTATGCCAACTGCCAGTCCTGATTGTGCTTTATTTTTAAATTTATTTTTCTAAAGAATTATTTTATTTAACTATTTATTTATTTATACATACATTTGACCAGAGAGGGACAGAGTGAGAGAGAGAGAAAGTAAGAAAGCAAGCTGCCAGGTCTAGGACTTGAACCATGGTTGGCAATGTGGGAGTCCAAACCCTTAACCACCACGCCACCTGCCTGCCCCTGCGCTTTATTTTTAAAATGAAGTTTGAAAACCACACAGCAGAGTTTAGAAAAAATGGGTGAAGTGATTAAAGGTGCTGGATTCCCACATGGCTGACCAGGGTTCGCATCCTGGACCTGGTGGCTTGCTTTCCCGCTTTCCCTTTCTCTCCATTGTTATTTCCCTTTCTCTATTATTATTAAAAAATAATAATAACAAATGGAATTAAATAAATAAATAATTCTTAAAGAGAAAGAAAGAAAGGGAGAAAGGAAGAAAGAAAGAAATGGGCCAGCCCATGGTCTGGGAGTTAAAGGAGCCAGATCCCACACCACCAACTGTACAGTACAAATCCTGAACCACTAGCTTGAAAAACATGTTGGGCATGTGTAGGTGCATGCCACCCCAAATCATGACAGGATGGAGAAGTGGAGAAGGGACTGTATATAACCATGCCCTATAGGGGGTGAGGGGCTTCCTCTCTCTGGTGAGCACATGCGTGCTCTGGTAAAAATTTAAAAAGAAAATATTTAGAACAGAGAAACACTAATGGAGATGCTGATCTCTTAAGAATACTAATATAGGACCACCCAGTGGCATGGTGGTTAAAGCAGCTGGATCCCATATGGCTGATTGTGTAGTTCAAGTCCTGGACCTGGCATCTTGAAAAAGACAGTGAGCACGTGTGCATGCATGTCCAAAATCCTGAGTGGAGAATGGAGAGGGATTTCAGTGTGGCCATCCTCCCTGGCTGGATACTTTATTTTTTTCTCTACAGCAAACACACACACCTTATACCAAATATAGAAAAAAAAGTGCTAACAGTATAGGTGCTGGATAGTGGCACAGCAGGAAAACGTACCCTGGGAGGCTGACCCGCACGGGAAGGAGGTTCCAAGCTTGCATCCAGAGAACTCCCTGACTATATTGGGATGTACTTCCGCAGGACTGAGGGCTAGCTGAAGTTGGGATGGATTGTGGTGAAACATGCAGGGCACATGTGTGAATACCCAGAATCAGCATTGGAGGACGGCAGGAAAGCAATCTTGGTGTGATCAAACGCTGTGAGGGTGCTCATCTCTCCCTCTCTTTTCCTCTTGTGCTTACACGTGTACTTTACTAATGAATAAAGGAAAAAAAAAATCTGTTAACAGAGTGGTTAGTAGGGGATAGTGAGCAGCTAGGCAGAAAAAGGTTAAACACAACCACAATTTTCAGAATGGAAGTGAGAGGTCAGGGATTGGATATGGGCAGAAAAAACCTGGGTTTCTTTTTTTTTTTTTTTTTTCAGTTTTTTTCCGTAGGATGTGTATGCTCACCAGAAAGACAGAGGGAAAGTGAGAAATTCCTTGGGGGGATGGTCATGCTGCAATACCTTCTCCATCATCCTCTCAGGATTTGGGGCATTCATACACATGTGCCTGGCATGAATTTCAAGTCACTGGGTCTGGGACTCAAACTGCATTTGGCCATGTGGGAATCTAGCACCTTAACCACACCACCTGCTGGCCGCAAACCCAGAAGTTTCTGCAATGACCTTGGGGAGGAGAAAGATAGCCTGGGCCCTAGGCTTAAAAGGATTTGGCTCACAGGAACCCAGGGGAGCTGGAAAACAACCAGCATATGTTTGGCAAGAAAAAGGGTCCAAAGGTTGGTGTTAGAGGCAGAGCCTGCAGCTTTGAATGGAAAACCAGCAGGCCCTGAGGACTGGGAGCTGAGCCAGGGCCTGGAAGCCAAGGCCAATCAACTGTAAAACCACTTTTCTAGTTGCAAGTAGACAGCATAGGGGCAAAGTCTGCAGTGTGACAGCTTACTGTGTCGTAAAGGCAGCCTTACCAAGGATGAGCAAGCCTGATTCAATCCAATGGGATGAGGTTGGGGGAAAGATGGGTAGGGAGGCCCTCAATCCAAGGCCCCAAGTGCTGTCCCCTGGCTAGCTGGATGCCTCCAGGGGCTCCAAGTGTCTCAAATTTGCATCACTGCTCCCTTAATCTACTGTGTGCAGGCTCTGGGCTAAACACTTAACTTACTAATTAGCCAAGTCTTTCACTTGTGAGTAGAAGAAATCAAGTCAAGCCAGATAAATTTTTTAAAATAATTATTTAATTTTATTTATTTATTCATTTATTTTAATTTGACCAGAGACAGACACAGAGAGGGAAAGTGAGAAAGCAAGCTGCCGGGTCTGGGACTCAAACCATGGTCGGCCATGTGGGAATGTCCAGCACCTTAACTATCATGCCACCTGCTAGTCCCGCCAGATCAATTTTTTAAAGAGGGTACAGTGGAGATTCATTCAGAGAATACAGGAGTGCTCTCTGGATCACAGGGTAGAAGGCAGATCTTACAACAGGCCCAGGTGGAGACTCCAGAGCAACTAGGCTTCTCCAGCAAATCCTAAATCCTCTGTGTGTATCTGCCTCATCTGTCCTCCTTCACAGACTGACTTTTCCTCTGAGTTGACAAGGCAGGGAGAAGGAGGCCGCCTGAAGTTCCTGTACCCCCATGTTATGGGTTCAACCACAGGGAGAAACTAAATCTGGATCTTCTCTGATTTCTTGGGAAAAGCATGGCCCAACATGGGTCAGGTATCCATTTGGGTTCCAATCAGCCAGAATGAGAAGGAGGGCGGCCACACACAGAAGTATGACTGCTGTGGCCCTTCATTGTGACCCCAAGCAGGAAGATTGGACCCTGTGAGTGTGTGTGGATTTGGGTCCAGGTTTATTTGGCTCCAAAGTTAAAGAGTGGCCCTGGATAGTGAGGGCAGAGGCTGAGAGATTGAGTTCACCAAGCCCACTAAAGATACAAAGACACGGACAAAACACAAAGTTCCTTATGAAAATAACTTTAATTTACCAAGGGAATGTCATGGCATCCCCTACAAACCCTGTACCTAGTTCTCATAGGCCTAGGCAAGCAAGGCCCCCTCTAGAAGTGGGAGGTGTGTGCTCAGCTGAGAGGAAGGAACAGACCCAAGGTAAGTCCATGCTCAGAGGTGAGCAGTCCTCTGGCCTGACTCCTTTCTGCCCTCACCAGCAATGGGCCGGTCTCGCTCCTCCCAGATGGTGAGGCCGTCACAGGAGCAGATTTTCTTGGGGTTCTGGAAAAGGCCAGCGGAACGTGCAATGATACCACAGGCCAACCTGCAGAAGAATGTGTGGTCAAGAGTGGGCACTGTCTGGCTGGGCCCCTCCAGGTCCCACATGTACAATCGGCAGAGCACAGCCTCCTGCTGGAGACAGCACCACTCACCTCTCCCCAGAGTTCCCTGTGATCTTGGATAAGGGATGGCCACCTCGGCCCAGGTCATCTTCTCCCTCATCAATAACCAGGCTGCGGCCAATCACATCCCATACCTTTGAGGGGAGACAACGGCCTTGGACAGTGGACTCTGTTAGGAAAGGTCCCCAACTTCCTTCTCATCTTACCTTCAGCTGCCCATCCTCTATCCTGAAGATGGCTCGGCCGTCAGCATCAGCGTGGACATTGCCTAGGTCCCCACGGTGCTAGAATGAGACCCGACCCAATGAGGGGAAAGGGTCATGTGGAACAGCTATTAGCGCCTGGCTTCCCTGTATGTGATTCCTCTACTTCCCCAAAGTACCAGTTTTCTCCTGTGGGTCCAGTCTAGTAGAATCAGGGACAGTCCAAGACCCAAGGAAGACAATCAGATACTCCTTCCCTGGACCTGAAATCCTGGGTAGAATGACAGCAAGCTGGTAACAGCCAAAGTTCTCCCTTCCTATGCAGTGGGAAGACTGCACCACTACACTAGGCCATTTCTCCTTTAAGGCTGCTACCTGGCCCAACACAGCCCTGCTTCTTAGCCTCCAGGTAGACAAGTTCCACGCCTAGTTCTCCAGCCTATTGGCTCTGTGAGTCTTTCAATTCCTTTAGGCTTAAGTTGGTCAACCTATCATCTCCTTCTTTGCCAGCCTTAAGAAACAAAAGAAACTCAAGGGGCAAGGGCCTGTCCTGGTCCCCCAAAACTGGCTCTTACTTTCTCCCATGAAGGTAACAAAAAATATCACAGCACATCTACTAGGTACCTCCTATGTCAGACACTCTGCCAGGCATGGCAGGAATACGTGGTCACCACCCACCCTCAAGGGACTCGCAGCATGGTGGGGAACCAGATATGGAACAGACATGTGACAATGTAAAACAAGGTGAGTCGCTGTGCATATACACGCGCATGCCCAAAATCCCAAGAGGAGAATGGAGAAGAGACTGCGGCGTGGTTATCCACTCAGAGGCAGGAGGTGATTTCTTGCTTTATGTCTCACTGTTTCTCTCTGCCTCTCTGGTGAGCGCACTTGACCTATAGCAAAAATCTCTCTTTTATGAAACAAAAACAAAAATGGGGTGAGTACAAAGGTTAGTGAGTTTGGGGTAAAGAACCCTACTGGTAAACCACAGAAACCTACATTTGTGTAAATAAATTGTCCCCAACCTGACATTTTGGGCAGAAGCAAGTGCCTGTTGCCAGTAGAGGCCTGTCTACATGAACTTGCTGTTGAATAACAAAGTATTTCCCTGTGTGATGGGCTGAGCGGTGAGAAGCACCGGTTCCGCTTTATCTTGTTTTCCAGAGGGACATCTGTTGCTGGCACCTGATACTTGCATTATACCCTGTGTTGGGGACTTTGATGGTAGACAGATCAAGAAGGCTGGATGATGATAAAGAATCTTGAGGACTATTTTGGGGGACAGGGCTGAGGGAGCAGCTGGAGTCATAAGCTAGTAAAGGGTCAAGGCGAGGCAGTCCTTCCAGCCCCTCCCCTGGGCTTCCAGCCCCTCCCCTGGGGACAGAGGCAGGTAGAATTGGGCCAGGGGAGGTCATAAATGTCCCACCAAGAAGTTGGCCCAGGCTATATCCTCCAGAGAGCCAAAAAGGGCTTCAAGCAGGGGCATGCATGTCTGTGCTCTGAAGCAAACTCTATAGTATAGTGTATGAAAGAAAGTAATGGCGGGAAACAGAGAAGGGAAAGAAGCTTGGAGACTAGTTAGGAGACACACAAGGGTCATCCAACTTGGACATAAATTCTCACATTGAATTAATTTCCATCTGGGCAAAACCAGGAGCTAAGACCCAAAAGGAACATGCCAGTCATCAAGGTGGCCTTGGCCACTCACTTGGTCATTTATATCAAGGACTAGGGTGCAATACAGATGCTGACTTAGCCCCTTCTGATTCCCTGTTCCAAGTGGGGTTGAGGGGGACCAGCAGTTAGCGTAATGGCTAAGTTGCTGGATTCCCATGTAGTCGGCTATGGTTCGAGTCCCAGACCCAGTGGCTTAAAACTCACACCAGGCGCATGTGCGTGCGTGCCCAAGATCCCGAGAGGAGGAGAAGGGATTGTGGTGCAGCCATCCCCCCTGAGGGGTGGTTTCTCACTTTCTGTCTCTCTGTCTGTCTGATGAGCGCATGTGCCCAAGTGGGGTTGAAGGGGTCAGGGAACAAGGTAGTCTCTTGCCCTTCAGAAACACTTCTTGTTGCATTATGCCTTAAGGGCTTTACCTCAGGGGTGGTTTCCTATTCTGGACCTGCTATTCCCACTCTCACCCTCTTTACATGACTAGTTTCTGTCCACCATCTCTGAAGACTCTCTGTGGCAGAGAGCCCATTCTTGCACCTCCCTATCTTCACATTCTTACCCCTTGTGCATGGACTGGACCTAGTATCACTTCCAAAATTAGATTACAAAAAGAATGTGGCTTCAGTCCTGGCAGGCCTCTCACCCTCTCTCTTGACTGCTCTGAGTAAAGCCAGCTGCAAGCTGTGAACTGCCCTAGGGAGAGGCCCACGTGGCAAAGGACTGATGTCTCTGGCTGACAGCCAGGGATGACCTGGGGCCTGCCAACAGCAACATGCTGGGAGCAGATGTTCCCCACGTTGAGCACTGACATGACAGCAGCCGTGTGAAAGACCCTGAGCCAGGGGCACCAAACTAAGCAACACCCTACTTCCTGACCCAGAGAAACAGTGAGATAACAGATGTTGTTTTAAATTCTTAACTTTGGAGTCACTCGATTTATGGCAATAGATCAATAACACTTGGAGCATGGTGTGCCATTGTGCAGTGGGCCACAAAAAGGCCTCTCTAACTTTTCAGGCATCGTTTGACCAAGTATAATAAAGGGGAGCCGGCAGGTGGCATGGTGGTTAAAGGTGCTGGACTCCCATATGGCCGATCATAGCTTGAGTCCCTGATATGGTAACTTGCTTTCTCGCTTTCTTTCTCTCTCTCTCTCTCGCTCTGTCCCTCTTCGATCAAATTAAAATAAATAAATAAATCTATCTAAATAAAATAATAATTAAAAAAAAAAGAAGTGTGATAAAGGGGGGCCAGCAGGTGGGATAGTGTTTAAGTGCTGGACTCCCACATGGCTGACTGTGGTTTGAGTCCCAGACCTGGCAACTTGCTTTCTCACATTCTGTCTCTCTCTCTTTCTCTGTCTCACTCTGGTGAGCACACGTGCCTTATAGCAAATTAAAATAACAAAAATTAATTAATTAATTAATTAATATTAAAAAGAAAGAAAAGTATGTGATGAAGGAGCCACAGTGGTGCAGCAGTAAAATGCTATGCTGAGACTGATCCATATGGGAAGGTTTTGGGTTGAGGTCTTGGGACCTCCCTGAAAATACCAGATACATGATGGTATCAGGGTGGCTTATGCTGGGGGGCAGACGGCAGCATCAAGACCCTGTTGGGGGTGCCATCTATCTCTGTCTCTCTTGGTCATGGAGGAAATAAATAAAACTTAGAGAGAAACAAAAAAAGACTTTTATCCAAAGTCCAAAAACTCAGTTACCTCAAGAAACACATACCATGGTTCATTTGTTTGTGACAGAAGGCTGCAAACTTTGCAAATGTTCATCAAGATGGAACAAAAAACAAGGCTTTTGGTGGCCTGGTGGTTAAGGTGGCTAAATCCCACATGGCTAGTACTAGACCTGGCAGTAGAAAAACATGCCAGGTGTGTGTGTACCCATGCCCAAAATTCTGAAAGGAAAATGGAAAATGGACATGACCACCATGGAAGGTGCTTTTTCATTTTCCCTCTCTTTCTCTCTCTGGGAAGCATGTATGCCCTCTAACAATTTTTTTTTTTTTTGGAGAGGTTTTCGCTATAGGGCGCGTGCACTCGCCCGACAGACAGAGAGACATAGAGAGAGAAAGTGAGAAATCACTCCCCAGGGGGGATGGTCACGTTGCCATCCCTTCTCCTCCATTCTCCTCTCGGGATTTTGGGCACGCACGCACACGCGCCCGGCGTGAGTTCCAAGCCACTGGGTCCAGGACACGAACCGTGGTCGACTACGTGGGAATCCAGCGACATAGCCATTACGCTAACTGCTGGTTCCCAACAATTTTTTTTTTAAGGGAGTAAACATTTCTTTTTCTTTCTTTTTTTGAAATTATTTTATTCAATTTTATTCGTTGTCTTTTTTTTTTAAGAGGTTTTTGCTATAGGGAACGTGCACTCACCAGAAAGACAGAGACAGAGAGACAAAAAGCAAGAAATCACCCCCCCCAGGGAGGATGGCCATGCCGCAATCCTATCCCCTCCACTCTCCTCTTGGGATCTTGGGCAGGCACACACACACGCCTGGCGTGAGTTTAAGCCACCGGGTCCAGGACTCAAACCGTGGTCGACTACATGGGAGTCCAGCGACATAGCCATTATACTAACTGCTGGACCCACATCACTATTATTTTAATTTGAGCAGAGAGAGACAGTGAGAAAACAAGCCACCAGGTCCAGGACTTAAACCGCGGTTAGCCATGTGGGAGTCCAGCACACTTAACCATCAAGCCACCTGCTGGCTCCACCCTCTAGCAACTTTTTAAAATAAATTAATTGAAATAAAAAATGAGAACAGGACTAGCAGTTAGCGTAATGGCTATGTCGCTGGACTCCCACGTAGTCGATCGTGGTTCGCGTCCCGGACCCGGTGGCTTAAAACCCACGCCGGGCGCGTGTGCGTGCGTGCCCAAGATCCCGAGAGGAGAACGGAGGAGAAGGGATTGCAGCGTGGCCATCCCCTCTGGGGGGTGATTTCTCGCTTTCTGTCTCTCTGTCTCTCTCTCTTTCTGGTGAGCGCACGCACTCTATAGCAAAAACCTCTTCAAAAAACAAAAAGAAAAGAAAACAAAGTTCTGAGTCCTGGGAGGATATAAAGAGGAGACAGCAGTTTCCCAGAGTCAAGAACCTAAACATGTTCTGGGGTTACATTGCCAAGTACAAGGGAACAGCCGTCAACGGAATGGAGGAGACAATAGGTGTATGACAGAACATCAGAAAACATTAAATCATTGGGACTGGCAGGCGTTGTGGTGGTTAAGGATGTTGGACTCCCATATGGCTGACTGAGGTTCAAGTCCCGGATCTGGCGGCTTGCTTTCTCACTTTCCCTCTTTCTCTCGCTCTGTCCCTTTCTTGTCAAATTAAATAAAGTTAAATAAAATAATTCTTTAAGAAAAAGAGAAAACATTAGATCACTGAGAGGGAGGGTAATCCTCTATGCAATTATTTTGTATCTGAAAACATTAAGGAGAAAGTCTCAGTGCAGTGTTAATAGGTCTTTAACATCTAATATTGCTAATCTCCACTTTAACAAAAATAAAGCAGGCTTCAGGACTGGCAGGTGGATTCCCACATGGCTGACTGCAGTTCAAGTCCCAGACCTGGCGGCTTGCTTTCTCACTTTCTCTTTCTCTGATCAAAACTAAAACAAACAAACAAATAAATGAAGTTAAATAGAATAATTCTAAAAAAAAACAACAAACAAACAAACAAAAAAACAGGTTTCAGTTCTCTAACCTTGAAGGCAATCTTTAGGAGAGCTTTAATAACATCTCTTTGGTTTTCATTGATTAATGATCTGCCTCTTTTTTTTTTTTTTTTTTTTTTGTAGAGAGAGATTTTTGCTATAGGGCATGTGTGCTCACTGGAGAGACAGACAGAAAGCAAGAACTCACCCCTGGGGGGATGGCCACACCACAATCCCTCTCCTCTATTCTCCTCTTGAGATTTTTGGCACATATGTACATGGTCCTGGCATGAGTTTTAAGCCGCTGGGTCTGGGACTTGAACCATGGTCACTTACACGTGAGTCATCTGCTGGTCCCAATGATCTTCCTCTCATGGCTAGAAGTAGTGGTTTTTCATTCTCTATGGCAATATCAAGTGTTTTGCTATAAATAAATCTACTCTTGGGCCAACAGATGGTGCAGAGGTTAAGGCGACTGGATCCCACATAGCCTACTGAGTGGTTTGAGTCCTGGACTGGGTGGCTTGAAAAACATATAAGCACGTGTGTGTGCATGCCCAAAATTCCGAAAGGAGAATGTAGAAGGGATTGAGACCCTGGAGGGTAATTTTTCACTTTCCCTCTTTCTCCTTCTGTTTCTTTCCAACAAGTGCACGTGCCCTGTAGCAAACAAAGAAATGAAATGTATTTTTAAATGAATAAATCTACCTCAATTACATAAAATGATTTTTTTTTTTAAAGTTGTGCTATAGGGTATGTGTGCTAACTGGACAAAGACAGAGAAAGAGAGAGACAGACAGACAGACAGAAGGTGAGAAATCCCTCCCCTAGGGGGATGGCCACACAGCAATTCCTTCTCATCTATTTTCCTCCCAAGCTTTTCAGTATGTATGCACACACACCTGGAGTGGTTTTCAAGCCACGGGATCCAAGATGAGAACCATGTAGTTAGCCATGTGGGAATCTATCCACCTTAACATCCATGCCACATGCTGGCCGAAAATGACGTCTTGATTTACTTCAATATAACGCTAGGTAAGGGTAAGGGGGTGTATGAAGGGACTTTAAAAAGTTCATTAAGGGAACCAGCAGTTAGCATAATGGCTATGTCGCTGGACTCCCACGTAGTCGATCGTGGTTTGCATGCCGGACCGAGTGGCTTAGAACTCACACCGGGCGCATGTGCGCGCGTGCCCAAGATCCCGAGAGGAAAGTGGAGGAGAAGGGACTGCGGCGTGACCATCCCCCCTGGGGAGTGATTTCTTGCTTTCTGTCTCTATGTCTCTCTCTGTATGTCTGGCGAGCGCACGCGCCCTATAGTGAAAACCTCTCAAAATAAAATAAAATATAAAGTTCATTAAGAAATGGAATCCAAATACAACTTTATTTTAGTGCAAAAAAAATTTGAAGTCTAAGGACCAGCAGTTAGCGTAATGGCTATGTCGCTGGACTCCCATGTAGTCAACCGCGGGTCGAGTCCCGGACCCAGTGGCTTAAACACGCCGGGCGCATGTGCATGTGTGCCCAAGATCCCTAGGGGATGGAGAAGGGATTGTGGCATAGCCATACCCCCTGGGGGGTGATTCCTTGCTTTCTGTCTCTCTGTCTCTCTCTGTCTTTCTGGCAAGTGCACTTGCCCTATAGTAAAACCTCTCCATGAAAAAAAAAAAAGTCTATGCATAGTTTTTTCAAAGTACACATTTCTATTTTCCATTAATTTTTTTTGAGAGGTTTTTGCTATAGGGCGCGTGCGCTCGCCAGACAGAGAGAGACAGAGAGACAGAAAGCGAGAAATCACCCCCCAGGTGGGATGGCCATGCCACAATCCCTTCTCCTCCATTCTCCTCTCAAGATCCTGGGCACACACGCACATGCGCCTGGCGTGAGTTTAAGCCACCAAGTCCAGGAATTGAACCGTGGTCAACTTCATGGGAGGAGTCCAGTGAAATTGCCATTATGCCAACTGCTGGTCCCATCCATGAACCTTTTGAAAAACTCATAAATGAAACAGAACTGGCCGTAAATTGGTAACTTGAAGCTGGATGACAGGTACATGAGAGTTCATAACTAGTTCCTCTATTTTGGAATGTTTTAAAATTTTCATGATAGATAAAAAAACAAAACTAGGGCCAGTCATGTGTGGTAGTGTGGGTGACTGGATCCCACATGGCCAACTGTTTGGTTCAAGTCCCAGACCTGGTGGCTTAAAAAAAAAAAATCACACCAGGCACATGTGCATGTGTGCCCAAAATCCCAAGAGAAAAATGGAGAAGGGATTGCAGCATGGCCATCCCCACTGGGTGGGCAGGCGGGTCATTTTTCATTTTTTCTCTCCCCACCCCCTTCCTTGTGCCTCCTCTCCTGTGAGCACACACACCCTATAGCAAAAAAAAAAAAAAAAACCTAAAATGAAACAAACTAAATTTTCCTAAGGGAAAAAAAATTAGTCAATTTAGATCAAACCACTGAGTAACTTCAGTTAGTACTCAGATAAAATAAAAGTCAAGACAGCATGTTGGGGGGTGGCAGGTGGTGTGGTGCTGGACTCCCACATAGCTGACTGTGGCTTGAGTCCTGGACCTGGCAGCTTGCTTTCTCACTTTTCCTCTTCCTCTCTCTGTCCCTCTCTGGTCAAGTTAAAAATAAATAAATAAACAAAGTTAAATAAAATAATTATTTAAAAAATAATAATAAACTAAATTAAGGAAGTAATTTTTTAAAAGGGGGGGTGAGGGACCAACAGTTAGTGTAGTGGCTATGTCACTGGACTCCCACATAGTCGACCGCGGTTCGGGTCCCGGACCCGGTGGCTAAAAATCTCACGCTGGTCTCGTGTGTGTGTTTTTCTAAGATCCCCAGAGGAGAATGGAGGAGAAGGGATTGCGGTGTGGCCATCCCCCTGGGGGGTGATTTCTCGCTTTCTGTCTCTCTGTCTCTCTCTGTCTGTCTGGCGAGCGCACGCGCCCTATAGCAAAAACCTCTCCAAAAAAAGGGGGGGCTGCCTTCTAGTTTGAGTAAAACCTTCAACTTCCCCACTTCACTTTTTTCAGAAAGCTTTCTCCCTTTGCTCCTGCTCTAGATGCTTAGAGGCTGCATTAGATGCTTACTCTGGATCCCCAGGGCTTCCTGAAGGTTCCTGTCAGAATTATATCAATGTACTGCTGTTCTTAAATTTATTAAAAAAAAGTAATGAAAGGGAAAAAAAATCAATTTCAGTGATCTCCCCCACTAGACTGATTTCCTTGGGGGTGGGCACTGGGTTGTACTATATTGTAGCTCTATGACCTTGATCATAGATCAATAAATATTTCTAAATTCAACAAGATAAAGTGAGAAGAAAAGACCCCAACAAAAAATAATCACACTCTAAGGCCCCAAGAGCTATCTGCCCTGCCTCTGAGACCTGGGGGTTCTCTTTCAAATCAAGCCCTGTCCAAACTGACACTTACCCGGACAGAGTCCTGGGGGCCCCCGTGAGATGTTCCATCTGGGTTAAAGTGGTCACCACAGCTAAGAAGGAAATGTAACAGGTAGGATACAGAATGGTAGCTCAGAGGCCAGGTGGTTTACCCACTTATCTACCTATATTCATCCATCCATCCATCCAATCCATCCATCCAATCCATCCATCCATTCATTCATTCATTCAACAAATAGTCCTACTCTGTGCCAGGTTTTGGGCAGAATGCGCCAAGAGGAATCAGATGTGGGTCTTCCCGCAATAAACTTTTGGTCTGGGGCAGCACAGATAAGTAAACAACAAATTATATCATGGCATGACAAATACCATGACACGAGGACATTTTCCTTCTTATGTACAGGAGTCCTCTTCCATCTCAGAGGCAGTGAAGTGGTTACTGAAAGGAGCTTCAAGGTCAGATCTTGATACAAATTCCAACTCTGCCTTTTATATAATTTGGGCCCTTTGGTAAAGTCATTTCATCTCTTTGAGTGTCAGTTTCCTCATTTGTAGGCTAGGTCTGTGTGTAAGTGCCTCATGGGATACTTGTGAGGACTGAGTAAAAAACTTTGTAGCTGAGGATGAGCTAGGGAGATTACAGATGACTTACCTGGTGCAGTTCTCTGTGAGGTCCCCGTACTGATGGACGTGGAGTCCATGCAGCCCAGGCTCCAGGCCGTCAATGGTTCCCTCGATGAGGCAGCGCTCAGGAGACAGTTGTAAGAAGCGTACCACCCCCTGTACAGTGCCAGGCCCCTCCAGAATTGCCACTGCTGCCCCCAGATTCTCTGCAAGGTATTAGACACTTGGGCTAGCTTGCCACCTCACCCAGTCCCACCCCATCATCAGCTCAGGAAGGGCATGGAAAGAGTCTCACTTATTTTCTACACTTTTCCCAAAGCCACTTCAACTCAGAGCCCAAGAATCGTAAGGTTAGATTTGTACCAATTCTAGACCATCTCCCTCCCAGAGAGGCCAAAGCCAAGCCCATAGAAGTTACTCACGCAATTGGCCACTGCCCATGCCCTTGAGTACTGCCTGTCGCCCTGTGCCTTCCAGGTGGGCCTGTACTTCCTGACTGGGCAGAGTGGTCTGTACTAAGACCATCTGGTTCTCCAACTGCACCTCCACGCCCTGGACACCTGGAAAGAGAGAGGGCAGAGAGGAAGACAGGGAGGGCACAAGGCAGGAGAGGACTGGTGCCCCTGTGCTGGACACAAAGAAGAGATAAACAGATAATGATTCTCCATTCCCATCTTCACCAACCTTCCTATGGGCATTTCCCCTGAGGGGTGATTTCTTACTTCCCCTCTCACTGTCTCTCTGCTTATCTTTGCCAAGCACATGCAACCTATGGCAAAAACCATAAAATGAAAAAAAAAAAAAATTGGAGATAATACCACCTTACTCTAGGATTTCTGAGTCCTTATTATTCTTCTTATTTTTTGGAGAGGCTTTTGCTATATGGCACGTGCACTTGCCAGAAAGACAGAGACAGAGAGACAGAAAGTGAGATATCATCCCCCAGAGGAGATGACCATGCTACAATCCCTTCTCCTCCATTCTCCTCTTGGGATCTTGGGCATGCATGCACATGTGCCCGATGTGAGTTTAAGCCACCAGATCCGGAACTCGAACCATGGTCAACTATATGGGAGTCCTGTGACATAGCCATTATGCCAACTGCTGGTCCCTGTGAGTCCTTATTATATGCCAGGTGTTATTTGTAACTTTTGAAAACATATATTTCTTTCTCCCCCTCTTTTTTTAGAGAGATTTTTGCTACAGGGCATGTACACTCACCAGAGAAGTAGAGAGAGACAGAGAGACAGAAAGTGAGGAATCACCTCCTGGGGGGGGATAGCCATGCTGCAATTCTTTCTCCTCATTCTCCTCTTAGGATTTTGGGCATGCATGCACATGCATCCAGTATGAGTTTCAAGCCACTGGGTCCAGGACTCAAAACACAGTCAACCATGTGGATGTCTAGCACCTTAATCACTATGCCACCTGCTGGCCTCTCTTTAAAGGTTTTTATAGGCCAGTCCCATAACCTAATGATTGAAGGAGTCAGATTCCACATGGTTGACCATGGTTCAAATACTGGCACCAATGGATTGAAAATCATGCCAGGCACATATGCATGCATAACTAAAATCCTGACATGAAGAAATAGAGGAGAAAGGATTGTGACATGACAATGCCCCACTGGGGAGGGTGCTTTCTCCCTCTCTCTCTCTCTCTCTCTCTCGATCTCTCTCTCTCTCATGAATGCATGCACCCTTTGGCAACAAGAAAAAAAAGTTTTTATAAAAGTGAGACACCCATTGGCCAGCAGGGTGGTGTGGTGGTTGAGGAAGCTGGACTCCCACATAGCCGACCGTGGTTCAAGTCCTGGACCTGGTGGCTTGCTTTCTCACTTTCTCTCTCTCTCTGTCACTCTGTCTCTTTCTGGTCAAATAAGGTTAAAAAAAAAAAAAAAGTGAATAAAACAAAAAAGTGAGTCCTCCTAGCAACATTATTTGTGACAACCAAAAGGGAAAACCCCAAATGCCCAACACTGATGAATGGATAAGCCAAATGTGGTACATTCATGCAGTGGAATATTTAACCATAAAATGGAATGAAGTAGGTCAGTCAGTGGCATGATGGTTAAGGCAACTGGATCCCATATAGCCAACTGTATAGTTCAAATCCCAGACCCAAGGGTTTGAGAAACATGCCAGGCATATGTGCATGGATACAGTGTGACCATCCTCACAGGTGAAGCGACACACATGAAGTTCCCCACAGGTGCTTCCCGATCCTGGCTGACTGGAAGACTAGAGTTAAATTGCACCATAACAGGGCACTGTCAGAGGTAGCGGTTCCCACCATCATCCAGTTGCCATGCCATGAAATTAATTGATTAAATTAAGAATTAAGCATTAGGGGCTGGCAGGTGGCATGGTGGTTAAGGGTGCTGGACTCCCACATGGCTGACCACAGTTTGAGTCCTGGACCTGGTAGCTTGCTTTCTCACTTTCCCTGTCTTTTACTCTGTCCCTCTCTAGTCAAATAAAAATAAATAAATAAAGTTAAATAAAATAATTCTTTAAAAAAAAAAAAAGAATTAAATGTCACTGTCGCTTTTATGTAGAAACACTACTGGAGAGACAAGAGCCCACAGATGAGATTTTTGAATGGGTCCAAGAAAGGTGAAATAGCTTGGATTAGCATAGAGCCTGATAAGCAGCAGGTAAGACTGGCCTTGGTGTAGGTGGGTTCTTAGACTTGTGGGGAAGTGGCTGGGGTTATAGGTCATATGGGGGAGCAATATGCATAGAGTTTTGGGTTATGAGCTCTATAATTAGACTTGTTTGAGTTTCAATCCCTTCTTTGCTGCTTTGGTACCTATATTTGCCCCTCGCAAAAAGTGGATCTTCTGTTTCTGAAATAGCAGAGCTTGAAATGAACCATTCCTCATAACTATGGAACTTCTGAAGTTTTTCTTTCTTTCTTTTTTTTTTTTTTCTTAGAGGTTTTTGCCTTAGAGTATGTGCATTCACTGGAGAGAGAGAGAGACAGACACAGTAAGAAGGAGAGTGAAAAATCATCCCCCAGGTGAGACAGCAACAATCTCTTCTCCTCCATTCTCCTCCTTGAATCTTGGGCATGCATGCAGAGGTGTGCAGAGTGCTTTTCAAGCCACTGGGTCCAGGACTTGAACCATGGTTAGCCATGTGGGAGCCCAGCAGCATAAGTGCTACACTATCGGCTGGTCCCAGCAACCTCTAAATTTTTGACCAGAGTCTGAGTGAAGAAGGTTGGTTCCCCAGCTAAGCTACAGTTCAGTTCAGTACTCAGCTAATCTCAGAATATGGCCAAACTGGCCTTTGATTAGCTCACAGGCCAGTGAGAGAGAACAAAAGGCCACAGGAACTCCAGAGTGATAAGGGCTCAAAAGGGCTGGGAGCTCCTCCCATTTTCCCCCTTACAGAAAGCAAAGTACTCTTTTCTAAAGCCCCAGGCCTTCTAGAGAAGGCAGTTCCCCCCTTCTCTTTCTCTCTCTGTCTGCATTCTGGAAAACTACCACTTCTCTGACCAGCCCATGAGAAAACCAAGCTGGTTCCAACTACTCAGACCAGAAAACGCAGAGTCACCACAAGTCTTTATCTAAGAACCTGCTGAGGGCTGAAAACTACTCTGTGTCCAACAGAAAGTCTAGCTGTCTGTTCTTCCAG